TCCGAAACGGTTATTCTCGTATATAAAAAGGCGAACTAAGAGAAGTGATGGAATTCCATCACTTTTGATACGAGAAAATCCGTTAATCTTAGCAGAGAATGATGCCGAAAAAGCTGAAGCTTTATCGGAATACTTTAGTAAAGTGTTTTCTATCGGTAATGAGGAACGACCAATGATTCGTCGCGACCGTGACGGCTCGCTGATGGATCCTGTAGTCATTGAGAAAGATACTGTTTTAAGGCTACTCCAGCATCTCAAACCTGATAAGTCCAGTGGTCCTGACGATATTCATCCTAGGATTATGAAAGCCATATCAGATGAAATTGCTGAACCATTAGCGATACTATTCGACATGTCTCTGAGACAGTCCAGACTTCCTAGAGACTGGAAAGACGCCATAATAAGTCCGGTGTATAAGGCTGGGGGTAGGGATTTAGTTAGTAACTATAGACCCGTTAGCTTAACTAGTGCAGTTGTAAAACTGATGGAGAAAATCATTCGGATAGCTGTTATAAACTATGTTGAAGGGCAAAATCTTTTCTCCAGGGAACAACATGGTTTTCGGAAAGGCCTATCTTGCTTGACAAATCTTCTCATTGCACGAGAAGATTGGGCTGCGGCAAAGGATCGGAATGCTCCTGTGGATGTGATTTTCATAGATCTAAGTAAAGCCTTTGATAAGGTTTCCCACTCTGGTCTTAAATTCAAACTGAAACGTTTTGGAATCCATTATACAGTCGTCGATTGGATAAGTAACTTTCTCCATGACAGGAGACAAAGGGTAAGGGTTAATGGGGCTCTCTCCTCGTGGGTACCTGTAAAAAGTGGGGTTCCCCAAGGTACAATCCTGGGTCCTCTTCTCTTTTTACTTTATGTAAATGAATTGCCAACTGTAGCAAAATCATCCGTTCTACTCTTCGCTGATGACATAAAGATTTGGAGACCCATACATAGCATGTCGGATAGGATAGTATTACAGGACGATCTTAGCTCATTGGTGGCATGGTTAGATAGGTGGTCACTAGAAGTAAATCCTAATAAGAGTGTAGTGATGCAGTTAAATAACTCTGATGAATCGTATGACTATACACTACGTGGATTCGTGCTACCCAAAGTAAGAAACTATAAAGATTTAGGAGTCATATTAAGCAATGATCTCAAAACGACTAGTCACTGTAAGGCTGCTGCTGCAAAAGGCTATAGGGTATTATGGTCAATTCGTAGGTCTTTCCAGTATTTAGATGATGAAATGTTTAGATTACTATACCCGATTTATGTGCGACCACATTTAGAATACGGGATTCAAGCAGCGTGTCCTTGTTTCAAATATGAAGCAGATATGCTAGAAAGAGTCCAACGACGAGCTACTAAGATGGTACAAGGTCTATCTGGCCTATCTTATGAAGACAGACTGAGACACCTTAACTTATTTCCGTTATCTTACCGTAGAATAAGGGGTGATCTAATATTGGCCTATCGTATACTGAACGATGACCTTGGTATTAACATGTCTTATCTTTTGCTTCCGTCTAGGACTGATCATTTGAGAGGACATTCGAAGAAAGTTCAAAAACCGAGATCAAACCGTTTACGTTTGGAATTCCGCTTCTCGCACCGAGTAGTGAATTACTGGAATTCTCTACCGGAACACGTAATATCAGCACCATCTGTTAATATATTCAAAACGAGATTGGACCTCCATAGTATTACAAACTGCAAGGATTAATATAGGTCGACAGACCTCCTATCCTTATTACTGAAGACTGAAACCACCCATGAGCAATCACATGGATGATTTTGAACCATCCTGAAAGAAGTTATGAAAATCCGTTAGGATCCTAGAATAGGTGAAATGTTGACTTGCGTTTCGGGAAACTATTATCACTAGAAGTAATCGAATTCTGTATGCTAACTAGTAATACTAAGAATGGTTGAATTCGTAATCTTTTAGTCACATATATGCAAGTCAGAGAGAAATCGGTGAACACAGTCGAAGGTACTGTATGTGTATTAGTTTGAGTCCAGCTTGAATGTACTTTGTGTACATGGGAGCATGCAGATTAGCGTGAGTGAAGAGGGTGGAAAGTAGAAGAGCAAAAGAGAGGTTGAGTCAGACCCAGCAAGCGTACACAATTCGCTTACTGTTAATTAAGAAAGTAGTGGAAAACAACCAGAAATAACACAAACGCAAGATTAAGACAATCCTGGAATCGAAACTAGAGGCAGATAGCTAAACAATGCAGTATTCCGAACTTAAATCAGCCGCGGAACAACTCACAAAGGAAGCAGTGTTGTGTACAACCATCACCTGACCTAAAGTATAACCCATTACTCAGAGTTCCAATGGTTCGTCAACAACTCGATTTCTCCGAGGCTTTCACTCAACAGTAACTACACATTTTAGTACAACAAACTTATATTTTTCTATTGTCACTACCCACCTTATGCATATAGTTGGTGATTGGTAGCCTTATGATATGGCTCCGAATTTGATGGAAGTATGAATATGCTATGAATATAAATCTTTCAATTAAGTCCGTTTATTACACCTAGGCGAACCCCTTTAATGTAAGGGCTGTAATAATAAGCAAAATACAGGTTGCGTAGGACAAACTTTTTTCAAGAAGTGGTGTATCCAAACAGATCCGAAATGGAAAATTGGAGAGCACGGCGAAGAAAGGTAAAGAGTCAACTCGTTTTGTTAAAGCGTGACCCAATATCTATAGGTAGATAAAAATAATTTAAAAACGTGTCATGACTAGGGTAAGCGATAAACACACATACGCTCATATAAAATCAGTCAAGGCTAATAGGCTGTAGCGTGGCGTCGAGTCGAAATTGACTATGAACACCGCTACCAAGAAACACGTGCCAAATAAATCAGAAGGCGAGGGTTGGACGTAACCAAATAAATCCATAAAATCCCCGAGAAGCCAAATATCAGAAGACAGTTAATGGACCGAGTCGAGGTTTATTAGCTGGCGATCTCGTGGCATCGAAAGGATACCGAGATCGTGCCAGGATACAACCTTGGTTACAGAAGGTAACCGAATTCGCGCGAAGTTACAATCAAAGTGTAAGTAAAAGAATGGAAGCACAAAATAGCTGTCATTAGCACAGTCAAACAAAAGCACGTTAAAACAAACACTGGTACAGTTGGTTATGATAATAATTGTTTTTATTGAACCAGTCGTGTTCTCGTGATAAATGTGAGTCACTACAAGGCGAATAATAATGTCACTCAAGAATAATAAACTGATATGTCTGAAGCTAGCATAACTGATATGGGCCTGACACAGACTAAACGCCACAATTGTGAGTGGTCTACAGAACTATAAAGTTATATATCATATACTGTGAAATTCATTGGACGTATTTTGGATGTCATTCTTAACCAAGAAACGTTTATTCAGTCTAAGTGGTCTAAACAATTCACTAACGTCGACCAAAGCATTCCCCGAGCTGAAATTGTGACAAGCAACTTAATTACACCTGTTACTCCTCGTCGAAGAGCATAGGATGCTAACCTTCATTCTCCACCTAACTCTGTCCTGGGCATTCCTTTGCAGTTGCTATTCATCCTTTTCACGTATGTTTCCAATTCTCGACGCAGTGTATTGTTTGGCTTTACTCGTCCGTTTATCTTCAGGATTACAAGCTAACGTTTGCCTTGAGATGCAGTTTGATGATTTCCTTAATGCGTGTCCTATCCACCTCCAGCGTCTTTTCCTAATTCCCTCTTCAGCTGGAAGCTGGTTTGTTCTCTCCCATAGAAGGCTTTTGCACATGGTATCCGGCCAAAAGACATTCATTATCTTACGTAGATAACAGATTATTAATACTTTTGCTATTTTGGTGGTGACTGTGGAAATTCTTCAAGTTTTAGCTCCACACAGTAGAACTGTCTTGACGTTCGTATTGAAGATTCTGACTTTGATATTGGTTGACAGTTGTGTTTGACTTCCATATGTTCTTCATTTGTAGGAATGTGGCTTTGCTTAGCCAATCCTTGCCTTTGTTTCTGCATCCGATCCTCCTTGTTTGTCGATAATGCTGCCAATGTACGTGAAAGTTCTCACCTCTTCCGGTGTTTCTCCATCAAGCAAGGGAGGACATTTTTCCTAAAACTTGGAATTACTACCAATATAAGTAGACAAACCCGAAAATTGTATGTCATTATATTTACTGATGTTATCTTTCGGGTCTAATATGAAATGGGTCTAACGAAAGCTTTCCAATGGACAATCATTTAATAAGAAATCGAATGTTTACAGATCCAGATTTGTGTAGTAAGGACAAAAGGTATACGGTCTATGTTATTCCTTTTCTAGTATGCTTCTGTGAGTGTCCAGTCTTTTCTTGAAAAAGTCAATTGAAGGTGCAGACACCACTGCTTCGGGCAGCAGGATCCAAATATTGATCATTCGGTGTGAGAACCTGTATGCCATGGGTATTGTGTTCGTTCTCGGCTTTTCTACTCCCGTACTATGTCCTCTGAGATTTCCCGATCTCGTGGGAAGTAAAAGAGAATAAGTTGGATCCAAAAGCATTTCTCAGTATTCTGTACGTAAAAATAAGATCTCCCCTTAGTCTGCGATAGGACAGAGTAAAGAGATCCAGCTTTTTAAGGCGTTCTTTTTATGGTAAACCCCGGAGTCCTGGAATTGCACGGGTAGCTGCCCTCAGTACTTTTTCTAAGATATCCAAGTCATTTTTTAAACAGAAGCTTGCAGCCTGAACGCAGTTCTCAAGCTTATTTCTCACTAAGGTTGTGCATACTGTGGTGAACATGGTAGTATCTAACTTAGTGAATGTCCATTTTAAAGTTCAGAGGGTTCTAAACCCAGTAGCTGCGACCTCCAGCTAGAGAAAAGAAAGAGAATGTACCTTAAATGGTTCTCAACAACACTTTTTAGTTTATCGGACGTCAACAGATCACAAAACCCACAAATCTATGCAAACTAACACACTCAACCAGCCTCAAGCAACTCATATATGAAATGCCCGCCTTGAGCCAAGCCTCTCAAGGTTGTGGAGACGCAAAGGATGCTGATTTGACCTGGGTATTTCCGCGCCGTTTTTACCACGAGATAACACTAGGAGGGTGAGTACTTGTTACGATCAAAATAGTAGATTACCCCATTAGTTCAGCCTATCTAGAGTCAGCATTTTGTTTTAGACTGATGTTGTTGAATACAACGAGACGGCTGACAGCCAATTGTATCATGCATTTATATGATAGCCGAATCTTCCAATTTTGGCTGAATGTAATCAAAACCCCGAAATTTCCCCAAGACTTCCCCTAAATTTCTCCAAAATCTTATTACACTTAGGAAATCGGCCTGTATTTGTTTAATGAAACTCCAATTTTTTTTCACAATTTTGGGTACATTTCGAGTTTTTACCCAAAATCTCCCCTAAACATCAGGTTCTTCGCCAATATTTTTGCAGAATCTTATTACGCTTTTGGGAACTTCGTCCCCACCTATTTACTAAACCGCAAAATTTGGAGCAATTTCAGTGATATAATCCAAACTGTCTTCATTTAACGCATTATTTCTCATTGCTAGACAAATATCACGGAAAAGCCAGTCGATAATAACTGCCTTAAAGTTTTTACCCAGGTATTCCATTTTTTCTTGTCAATTACGAACAGTGAACACAGTGCCAAAGAAACCTAGCGACAATCGATCTATCTCTGAAATTAAAAGACTGATTCGTAACACGTTTGAATGTTTATTAAAGTTAATTAAATTACAAATTGTTGATAAACAATAGACTTTATATTTCTTAGTCCCGGAAGTACGTTACGTAGACGTTGAACTACCATTCAAAGTGTTCTACAGAAAGAAATTTTGTTCCTTAGTTAACCGAAAAAATTTCATGGTAATCATCAAAACCTGAATGTTATGTAGAACGTTGCTGACATACCAACGGTAGAACAATATTGTGAATAATCCGAATACGAAACTTAGTTGCGTTTGTGAACATTTGCGAAGCCAGCTGGAAATAAGATGGACAAGGAATAATTGTTTCAGTATAAATGTTTATCACAAACTAATATGAAAACAAAAACCAGTATTTAGTCACTAACCTAAAGCGCATTTAGCTCACTTTTTCTTTGGATCACCATCCACGCTTTTTGACTTTATCTCTTGCGTCGTGCAGGAAAGCCTGGCTTGCAACATCCATGGCGTGCGCTACTTTTTTCCGGATAGGTTGTAGAACCGGGAACCCAGAACACCTACAAATATATAATACTGTAGTGTGAACTTGCTTTGAATCGTCTGGTAGAATCTGTAATGACATACCCAGTTTACTATTAGTTCCATGTAAAGTGTATGTGTTAGCCATTTCCGGCGACAGCAAGTAACGTAAATATGCTTTGGTTGATTTACGGGGATCATCACACAATCTCGTGCAATCTGGCCACCTAAAATTTTTTGAAACACCTGTTAGAACTTACAAACTGATCACGAAACTTGAGCTCCTGCAAAGCAACTTCCAAAGTACGCAACTCATGTGTTTGTAATGGGAACGCGAGACTTGGGGTGTCTATGCGGTCGCTGCACCTTTTCTTTTACACCAATGGATGAGCTTTCCATGCAAACAAACATGTTATCCATCTTTGTAGACAGATCGCTGATTGTTTTCGTCATCATTTTATTGTCAACACTGTGCAACCATTACATTAAGTACACTAACTTCCATTGAAGTACATGGTAGCGGTGTTAAGAAAACCTCTGTTTTCAATTAACTACTTTATGAGCATTTATTAAATAGATACATACCTCGCTATATGTGAAAATTTTGCAGTCAAAACGTTGACCACTAGTAAGTCCAATGGTACACACCCAGCTTCGATTTCAACAACCTCCGGTTCTTCGGTAGTGCACAAGTAATCGTTGAATGTTCGTTTTGCAGTCCTGACAATAAGTGAATTGCGTACATTGTACAATTTACCTTTTCGGTTTTTAAGTTACACGGTAGCGTGTCATCAGTTGCTTTTTTGTTATTATAACCTAGTGCTATAGTGAAAGATGCTTTCATTTCTTCGACCTCATGGTAATCATCTGAAATCAATGAAAGAAGTAGTTACAACTTACCGAAACGATGCGGTACGGTGCATTTTCTTAAAGTAAAGCCGCTATCACAACCAATACTTTGAAGAATTTCGGTTATTGTCACATCATCCCGATCAATATAATGTTCCTTGGCCACCAGCCATTTGCCAGGGATAACTAAAACTTGTTTCTTCTCCTTGTCGTTAATAAAGAAATATTCTCCTGATTGATTCTGAGAATCAATACCATGGTTAGAAATTTTTGTCCTTGCAACGCAGCTTCTAAAGTGCCAAGTTCTGTTTCTTTAACGGAAATTCCAAACAAAAAGGCAATCCTGCAACTATTCTTGTCCTTCACAACAGTGGATGAGGTTATCGTGTACTCATCCATTTTATTGATATGATTCGAGAGATTACTGATTGCTTTCAAAGTTAGTGGATAAGGGATAAGTGTGCGACCTATTCCATAAAATTTATGAATAAAACTTACTCGTTAGCAACACCGTTAGGAGGAATGGTGTATTTAGCTATTGATAAGAAGTTACCAGTCGAGATGTTGACGATTGGTAACAACTAGAATGCATCCAGCCCTCACTTCAGCTACCTGTAATTCTTCAGACGTGTACAAATAGTCATTCATTTTTCGTTCTACTACCCTAACACTTTAATGCAGAAAATTATCAATTTATCTCTTAGACTTTTCAGTTTGATACGAAAGCGTGTCATTTGGATGTGTGCGTTGTAACCGAGATCTTCAGTAAATGTTGCCTTCAATTCCTCGGCTACCTGAAAGTCATCTGAAAGATGTTTTACGTAATCACAACTTACCAAAATAATGCACTACGGTGCATGTTCTTAACTAACATCCACCGTCCTAACCGATGATGTCACATTGTCCTTATTCAGAAGCCACTTGTCAGGGTTGGTTACTACTTGCTTTTCTCTTTATTCTGGACGTTAACGAGAGGTTTTGATTGGTGCTACAAATTAATCTCATGGCGTTAAAACTTAAAAATGTTACACACAATAACTCGATAACTTTTGAGATAGGTTGTCATGGGGTTAGAGTAATAACCAACGTGTAAACCTATTGCACTTAAATATTACATGTGGTGCACGCCTTGAGAATCGCTGCCACCCTAAGAAAATGTATAGAAGATAGTGATAATAACTTCGTAATATTGTGTCGGGATTCCAATACACTTGCAAAGTAGACAGGAATAACAAATCTCATGGCAAGGTTGTGTACCTTAAGTGGTTGAGATACTTCAATCATTGATTACTCATGTTTCGTCGTCTATGATTAACAAACAGGGCCGCTGAATGCCTACATTTCGCAATCTGGTATGTGGCAGGTCCTCACAAACAACCGTTTCAATTGCTTAGATGTAAAATTAAAATAGTCGTTTATTCTACTAGATGGTTGGTTCATTAAGCTCATAACTATGGTTGTTTTTTTAATTGTTCATAAATCAGGTTTTACTATTCTTATCTTGCAGATCACACAACCAATTCACTTTTACTGAAAGCTATCAAAAGTATTTTACTTTGTAATGCATTCTACTCATCCCCTCCATTCATCATACTCGAATTTGTTGTTCAGACAGTGGCATACCGCAAACTATAAGGTCAGTGCTGAGAATCTTGTGTATCCAATTTTCCTCAGGTATATTATATTGTTTTCTCATCCATTCAGCCAAGACCCCGATTGTGATAAAATAATTACTAGTCTAATAGACCAGCGTCGAATAGGATACAACCGAATCGTCGAGTTTTTAACACCTTTGGTGGACAAGCAACTGAAATCTGTTTTGTTGTTTGGGACAATCAGTAGAGACCAAAAGATGCTACAGGATCAGCTTGTGATACACCAAATTCACCAGTCATTCAGGCAATCAAGTTGCTAAGTCAAAATTTCCGGATTTAATAGTGATTTGTGATGTTTGTTTGTGTGCATATACTGACAGTGGTCATTGTGGTACTGTGTAACATTTGTTTTTAAACATAATTTAGGTATTTTACGTGATGACGGGTGCCTTGACGTACCTAGGACTCTTGAACGTTTAGCAGAAATATCTAAACGGTTCGCCCTAGAAGGTGAGTACTTTTTACTAAATGTAACTGTCGTGTACTGGTTTACTTACTGGGTTATGAAGGCCACATAATACCAGAATACTAATACTATCTGAGCATATAAATCAGAATTAATTAAGTAAGCTGTCCCAACAATTGAATGTGTCTACTATAGCTTTTTATTTACTACTACACAGTGTACACTATTTAGTCGACAAGCGGACACCTCTACTACATCACAAGCGACGCAAAATGGAAGATGCCACCCGGGTTTTTTGAGTCCATGTCGGGATTCGGTTAGGCACCAACCCACTAAGACTGACGAGACCTCCAAGATAAGTAAAGTAATCAGCGTACTCACCTACTTCACTCCCTATCACTAATTGAGGCGTTAAGACAGACTAGTATTCAAGCAACATTTAGCACTTAGGAGGGTAGGAGAGAAACCCATCCTAAACACGCTAGCATTGTTGCTCAAGTTGATCGAAAGACTTAATATTATTAGCGTCTTCGCCAGAAAGGAGTACATCATCTGCGTACTCCGAGTCTGTAAATGAACATCCTGAAGTACTAATCTACGAAAAGTTAGGTGAAGAGCGTGTTACTTCCAGTGACATCTATGATGAACGTACATAACAATTGAGATAGTGGGAAACCCTGACGAACACCACTTAAGGTCTACATATAGCCGTAGCCTCTAACTCGACCAATAGTGTCTAAGTGGAAAGTCTTCACAAGCTTTATGTACTTACTCGGTACGTCTTTCAATGCCAAATATTTTCACAGAATCTCGGTCAACATAGTCGCATAATCTCTATTTATTAATATATACCGCTATGGTCAATATCGCTAAGTATGTCTGCGTTTTTAAACCTGAAGAAGGGTGAGTATTTTGTCAATGCATCCAATTGCAGGTCTAAAAACAGCCTGGTTTTACCGGGTTCACTCTTTATGAGCCCTAGTAAAGCGTTGGGTGATTTGGTAAGTTTTGGTTTCCTCGTTATGAAGAAAATGTTCAGGATTTAGGCCCATTTAAAATCAATCTCATAAAATACACTCTCCCACCTCTCTTCAGAGTAAATAGAACGTCTGGTCAATATAGTCTTGGTAGTTAAATAGTCATTGAGGAATCTGTTATTAGAACTAATGGAGCTAGCTGCATCAGTAATCCAGATCGTGGTACAACCATTTGTATTAAATGTAATCCATACAGTGATCTTGTGAGTGTCCGACTGTGGCTTAATATGCTCTCTTATTAGATGGTCTCTATAAAACACGAAAAGTTTCTTTGTGTGTAACATCATTGTCTAGCACTTCTGTAAGAAAAAAACGCTCATTTAGATTATTCATACTTATCAGATATCGATTTGCCATTTAGTTTTTGACGTCTTAATAGGCTGTAAATGCTCATCCGTTATACGGTTTACGCTTACTTTGTTTTACAGGAGCTGATGTTATTGCCCCTTCTGATATGATGGATGGTCGTGTGAAAAAAATCAAGACGGCTATACAAAGTATTGGTCTCAGTGGAAAGGTAGCCGTTATGTCTTATTCGGCCAAATTTGCATCTTGTTTGTACGGTCCTTTCAGGTAAAAATAATTTTTGAGATAACCTAAAAACTTGTGTGTGTAAGACACTGCAAACTCCCAGATAAGGTGTCGAGTTTACTGACAGTTAGGTGTTGCCTCTGTGTTTTGTGACTTATTTTGATTAATAATGGTATATGTGTTTGGTACTATCAGCTGAAATAAAAAAACCTGATGTAGTCTTCATTTGACGACACAGATAAAAATCAGTAGTATGGGATTTTTCTAGCCTTGTATTTTTCCAAAGCTTGAAAACATCAGGACGAGACTATTAGTTAAAATTCTTTGGAACTGGCCTAGCTATATATCTTGATGCTTTAGTCGTTGAATGAGTACTCTTTTCTCTTTTGATAAGAGCTTTATTTTAGTCACGGCCACTTTATTGGAATCACTCGTGTTGACATGTGAGAGAGGAAAAATCCAACTCAGTAACTGCTTATGGGTCTTTGACCCCCAGATGCCCTGGTATGGCCGAGAGTGAGGTAGGCCCGCCACCCCTCTCGAAATGCTCTCACACGGCCACACGTATACAGCCTCTGCCAGGGAAGTCCTACTCACTGCCTTCTCGCGACGGGGTGTTGTTCACGAAAATGAGAGGACGAAAAGCAAATGTCCGGCGTTTTATCCGATCCTAAACCAATGGTGCACTTGGGCTCCAGTATCCTGCGGGAACAAATGGCGTATGAACCAATCTTTGGTCACCGGCTACCATGGGACTGCATCTCCTCACGATGCTCCACTGCCTTGTGGGTCAGCCTTTAGGTCAAAGGCTCGGGGTGTGGCCCCTAAGAAAACCATCTCTTCGGTCTGGGCACCCGAGCAGTATCACAGCCCTCACACAAACATGATGAGATGTCGATATTTATGGAAAATACTTGTCTTGCTTCGATTAACAATCAAACGATCCATATTATTATTATTATCATTATTATTTACTACGTCATTTATTCACTCTTTTATCCCCACTTTATGTATCCTTATTTTTCAACTTATACAGCAGCTCGCCTATGGTGCAAACTCGGTTCTATCTAAACGTTCTCGAGTCACTGCCTGGTTGAAAATTGTATGCTACCACCAAGTACGAGTACTGGAGCAGTTTTTCTGAAACAACGTGCACCATTCAAACTGGCTGTCTTCAACGTTCTCACACTTATTCAGATCGGACAACAGATAGGACTGATTATGTCCTTGGAAAGTCTTAATATCGACGTTTGTTGTCTATCCGAGACCCGTATTTAAGACTCTTGTGAAGTACTACAAATTTACTTTCCATCTGTCGCTTCGAAAAGCATGTTTTACGTGCGTTTATCCGGGGACTCTGTGGCATCTTCGTCTGGTCTTGCTGACGTTGGTGTCGCACTAAGCGCTCGAGCTGAGGCAGCACTAATCGATTGGATCCCCATTAACAGTCGGTTATGTGCTGTTAGGTTAGAGAGTTCCATCAAAGTGAGAAGAAATCGGCGTGAGAAACGATGTCTTTTCGTCATCTCCGCCTATGCTCCGACAGATTGCAGCCCGAATGCAATCAAGGATGAATTCTACCACCAGATAACTGTTTTTTCTCTTCGAATTCTCATTGTTTTGTGTGGCGCATAAATACTTGGTACCCACTTATACCAATATTAATGTGTTCAAATAAATAACTAAATTATGGTCTTTATAATAATCCAGATACAAGAAGTTGTAATATTATATGATTTTAGTGACTAGTTGATGAAGTGGGTTTCAAACTTTTGATTTTTAGTGCATAAAATATAGTGTCTGAACTGATGACTAAGAGTGATATGTAATTAATACGTTAACGTTTCAGAGATGCTGCTCAATCTGCACCTTCTTTTGGAGACCGTCGACATTACCAGCTTCCTCCTGGTGCCAAGGGATTGGCTCTACGTGCTGCTGTAAGTCTTAGATGATCATTTTTCAAACTAACAAGCTGTCACTTCAAATGGGTTTAAATTCATAGACAATTTCTTAAATGAATTGGTGTTGAATTTGAAATTTGACGTGATTTTATTTCAATATAACGTTTGTTTTACTTCAAATCTATCAATAAAATGAAAGGTCCTTCATAGTTTATAGTTTACTAGAAGTGATTTCATATCTAACTTTCAGACTGGATTCACCAATTCCCATCTGTTAATCTTCATGTTAATCATATAACTTGACTGTAGAATCAAACACAGTAGCGAATCGGTTTAACTTGTCATACTATATGATGTTAACAATCGCGCTGTAGACATATCAAACTAGGAAAGGTAATATGGTTCTCATTACCAAAAGTAAATTAAAACAAGCATATTTGAACCGGTTAGTTTTCATTTTTTCATTTTAAGTTAAGGTACAATTTCTATTTCAACATGCATAAACTTTGTAAATAAAACCCCCTAAATATGATAGTTTAATGACATTGAGGAAATATATCGTCATATGCTTTAGCATCTAATTTTTGTGCGGTCACTGCGTCATTATCATTTTTATGTAATTATAACTGGCTATGTAGACCAATTACCACAATTTAAGACTACATCCCCCCAGAAGCGTTAGTCAAGGAATGTTTATATAAACTACTGAGCAAACAGCGATAAATTGAATACTCTTGAGACAATTACAGTGTGACTGATAATCAAGTCCTATGGTTAATTAAATTATAAATACCTTACACTGCTTCAATTTTTTTATTTTCAGAGAATATAATATTAACAGAGCATAACTTCGTTTATCTAATCAGTCAGTTTACCCATCTAATGGTATATTCTTTTTGGATTTGTTACACAGTACAGTTTCAATGACAATATTTATATCCTACGTTGAGACACTTAAGTAGTTGCATCACATTTTTAAACTAAATACGTTGTATAATTACTGCGAAAAATCTCTTAACGTCTTTTATTTCCTTGTTTTGTCTTTAACGTTTGCGCATTCCAGATTCGCGATGCAAACGAAGGAGCTGACTTCATAATGGTTAAACCTGGTCTTCCTTATCTGGATATTGTAAATGAGATACGACAGTTGGTATGTCTATGTTGTGTTTGTTTGATGTGTCCTGTGATTTTCCTAACTCTTCGGATGCAGCATTGGTATTTCGACGATAATAGTCATTTGTTTTGCAACAAATTGTATTGATTCACACTTTCTGTACCGTAACATCTGATCAAACAACCCTTTGGCATGTGTTCTGTGATATACCCATGTTTGAAATCGCATTCAGAAGTTGACAACTAAAAAGTGTGCATACATTTTTAGCATTATGAGTATGAGTTAAGAATTTTTAGTTATCCGCAAATGAGTAGGTAAATTTTCCTGCATGAAAAACCATTTTGGAACGAATATCGTTAAAGAGTGAACATCCTAATTTACTAAAACAGTTATAAGTTATTCAATAATTAGAGACTGAATGACATAGTTCAAAATCGTTTACGATACCGCAAGTGTATCCATTCTTTGTTTTTCCTCAAATCCTTGAATTCTAAATTCCTCATAACTTTTTTGTGTTTTATTTCACTAATTTATATTTTCTTGGATCGTATCTTCAATGCTTAATCTTTCCTATCACCACTAATACTGTTACTACATCTACTCTTTTGGTATTTGGCCTGACAACTTCATCTCGGTGTGCTAATGGGCTGTGGCAAGTTGAGCCGATGTACTTATAGATTCTACGTCGCGACTCTCTTCAAGACTATTACGTTAGAACAAGTGATCACATATAATAATTTTACAGACTAATATGTAAGTTAGCAATGCGTTTATATTAGAGCACATAAAAATAAAGCTCAAAATAGACTACTGTGGATAGGATTTTGAACGCTAATCTTGAATTTGTACACGCTGTTCAACAATCTAATGCAGTGACTTTACATTCATCTAGGTTTTCCTCAATCTAAAGTGATAGCTAATATAAGAAGTAAAACAGTTACTCAACATAGGTTATACTTCAGAATGAATTTCCCACTCATTTTATCAAAATACCGTAATTGTTTTTACAAATAGTTCTTTTATTCTTGAGAGACGATTATTACCTGTATAAGTAGCGTGTTAATATCCAGCTAAAGTTATTCAGACGCCTAAGAAAAATTAAAACTAAACTCGTAATAGCTCTTACATAAATATACAATTTATTTCATTCCTGATATTGTTTTTCCTATTTCAGCTACCTCATCATCCTCTAGCAGTTTATCATGTTTCTGGTGAATATGCAATGCTAAAACATGCCGCAAATGCTGGAGCTATCGATTTAAAGCAAGCCGCCTTAGAATTGATGACTGCATTCCGTCGTGCGGGTAAATTTAAATACCACACAATTGTTTAAAAATCCCCATCATCTTAAAAAACTACTATATGAACGAAGAATATTCTTTTCAATAAATCCTCTTCAGGTTCTACAAAACTGTATATCCAAATTAATAATCTGAAAAGTAGTCAGATTTAGGGCAAAGTACATCGTTTACAGTAATAACATGTAAATGTACAATTGTAAAATAAAATTGTTAATGTTGAGATAGCTCATATGAAATGTTAACTTACATCGGCTTATACGTTAAGCGAAATTACAAGATTGTTCATGAACGAAATAATAATGGGTCAGACAAGGTGAGAGAAATAATAGTGCAATTACAAATTCGATCAAATGTCTAGTGGAAGACTATATTATGTAAAACTTTTATTTGAAATTAATAAGAAATGGTAATGTGGGATGAATGCTAATATAATGAATCATGTATTCGAGACATTAATAATAATGCTAAACCACTAATAATTCAAAGATATGTGAATAAATACAACAGACAATTGTATTTGACTAAGAACGGTTGTAGGTACATTACTCAAATTAGGTCATTCAATAGCTATAATCATTATTTAATTGGTCCTGTGGTAAGCCAAGGTAGGAGAGGCGGTTGAAGATATTTCTTTGTATCCATCGTTGTGGCTACTGCTTCCGCCGTTCGTATGCTATAACTTTCAATGTCGTACTTTGCCATAAACCTGGCCACTCTTCGGATCATTAATTTGGATATATAATTGTAGAACCTGAAGAGAATTTATTGAAGAGAATATTCTCCGTTCATATATTAGTTTTTTAAACCAATATTCCTTGTGTGTATTAGAAATATTTTTGATGTAGATTATAATTATATATAACTTTTCTCTGCATCTTGGTAAACTATTCATAATAATTGTTGTCTAAATACTACTGACCAGACCATAGATATTCAGATCAAGTTTATTGGTTTACTTGATATTAACTTTAAATGATTTGCATCAGAAGAAAACGTATTCCAAAAGGTAACTAGTTTCATTATAACCTGTAATCATGTCTTACCATTTATTTATGAAAAAAATAACATAAAATGCAAATAAATTACATTTTCGGATAGACTTCATTTTATCACATTATGCACATTTATGTAACAAATTAATTATCCTAAATGATATATATTAATTAGTACAGTACCAAAAGTGCGAATTACAAACGTGTTATCGGTGTTTTGTTAAGAAACATAATTGGAGTGTAATCACAAATCTGTGCATACCTTTCTCCTGTTTCAAAAAATTAGTCCGTAAACATAAACCTGTTTTGATCATTAGCTATATGCTGAACGATTAAAAGTTATTACCTTATTTTAACTTCAACTCAACTGTAATGACCACCTAATTAACTTCAACAGGATTTTCTACACATACTAGTTCACACGTACATGAACTTCGTTAGTGTTACCATTTTTAGACTATTATACACTTCATAACAAAGATTTTTATTGATTGTTTGTAATATTCATTTTCTTTATTGTTTTTAATCAAAAACATACTTATGTATTTCTTAAAAAACATTTTTCCTCTTTTTTATTTTCATATTTTGTGTGTAGGTGCATCAATTATCATAACATATTTAACACCGTACCTGCTGGAACTTGATTTGTCTGAATCATGTAAATAGTGGTGGATATTTTTGAACTAACAACCTCAACAGTTTAGATGAATGATTGACTTGTTCGCTGAAATATATTGGAGTAATTGATATTTCATTCGCTTCACAACTTTGTTTTACTGATTTTCTCATTCCATTGTAGTATCTTTTCTTTGTCTGTTAAATCATATGTATATTCTCTAAAAAATTATTCCATTCTTATCTACTAGCTTTAATTCTCTTCATCTTTCTGTATCTGTGTTTATTATCCTAGTTTATTAATAAATTGCTAGTTTAGGAATTTTGCTAAGATTGTTCATTTGTAGTGTACATCACAGACTGCCGTTAATTAAACAACTATTGAAAATCTCAAAGCAATGGATATCCGTTTCGTCCTAGTATATAGGTCTCCTCAACAGTAACCATATGTGACACCGTCAGATATCTCGTAGTAAGTGCCTAACCTTCATATCATTGATCTAGTATTCAATATTTCATATTTCTTTCTTCAGTTTATGTGTAGGAAGGATTTGAATGTGACCAACTTGGTCTCGTGTGCTGTTACGGGTACGAGGGCTGATGTCACTTCCCGGCTGCCCACACCGTGGAAGGGTATTTCTTGAGGAACCTGAAAAGGAAATTGGATTAGTGTTGGTCTTAACGACCTGGGAGCGTGACCGCAGAGCCCAAGGGAGAACTGCTTGAAGCCGGTCGCGCACGGCCTTTTTGTAAAAGGTTTTTAACGTGTTAGCTCCGTTCTTCAAAGGGCCTTACCGCCGGAGACGGAAATCCGTGAGGTAAGGTGAGGTGTGCATTTTTAGGGTCGACCTTTTCTAACCCCACCCCTCCTTGTGGGAAGGCAGCATCACTGTCATGCTGGTTGTCCGAGGGAAACACCTTACTGCTATCACACCCCTCTACAGTCAGCAGTACGACTTCGCCCTCAGACCTTGAGTTGCTGCTTTTAGTCTTACCGTTCTCCAATCGACCTGCCTGGCATGGTAGAACCTACAGGAACATATGTTCCAGCCAATATAGCTCGGTTGGGTCATCACGATAGGCAAGCCCGACCACCGCGTCAAGGTAGCAGCTTCGGTTTATGTGTAACAAACAAATAAATCGGGGCAACAAAAAATGAGTCACCATAACGAACCACTGGAGGCATATAATAAGGACGAGGAGGACACCTTTTAGCTTATGACAAAAAGTGGTGTGAAGAAGTAAGTGAAGGACATTATTTTCGAGGTATTCATAAAGCTAAAAATAATGTGATGATAAGCAAATATAGCTTTTCCTATCCCTCATACCTAAACATAGGATTCCATCTTATGCTTCTTTCCCGTGCCGCTTCTAGGTAATATATCATGTTACGGATGCGTGTTCTCTCAAAAACTCGTGTTTTGCTTTAGTGTTTCCTGTATTTGGATGAAAACCAGAAGCGTCGAAGTTTTTAGTTACCTCAGGTCAGCACTAAAGACTAGTCAATTATGATGTCGGTTACCGCTCATTGATCAATGTAAATACATCAGCCCTACAGGAGGTTTGTCGAAACACGAACAGCTCAGTACCAACATCTCAGACCGATGTGGGTTAAAATTCCATGTGGGGGAGCGTTATTTGCATGTAAGCCTCGATGACTACCCCCAACCAGGACGAAGCCAAGGTCTCCGTTCTCTCACCAACCACCCAATATTCAAACAAAATACACTCTATGTTAAGTCACTTAAAGTAGCAACGCATTGCAACTTAGTCGATAGGGTTCATTTACTACTAAGGAATCAATAGACATGGTTCTGTTCATTCTACGTAGTGATCATTCCATATAATTCTTATTCACCAGGCATAAAATGAAAGCATGTTGTGCGAAAAGCTCTTCGTTTGGTTGTGTAAGTCTCCTGGTAAGCTCAAATTTAGATATCAGAGTCCACAACAACAACTGGAATATAAATTAAGTGCATATTGGTAGTTGAACAATTGAGGGTAATGTCCTTACCCTGGAGTAGAATCTGTGTAGTGCTGGAATAACCTGTAACACCCTAGACGAATTCTCTTTGCAATCAAGCACAGCTACATTGATAGACGACTGGTCTCATGAGTGTAAGGTGAATTTTTTCTGAGACAGTTCGGCAAGTTTGATTCAGTATTAACTACAAGTATATTAAACCTCTTACGTTTTGGATCTTATTTCCAAGACATGAACATTGCATCTTAAGATCGTGTTTTGGAGTTACTATTTTCATTACAACAAATCAGTTACTAGCATCTAGTGACAAGCTAGCGTAGTAATATGAACCCATAACATTATAAAAAATTTGTTCAGATCATAATATTATTGTTTAGCTACCTGTCTTTCTTGATAACTATGAAATGCGTTAAATTCACCGAGTTGTGCTACCTTCATTCGTTGATTGGGTATAGAAAAAAGAGTTGTTGCTAAAATGCAGTTTCGACTCTGACAGTACAGTGATGAAGTCAGTGTGCATGCTGACCATTAAAAAAATACCAATATGATAGTAATCAAGACGCCAAGTACGTGCGGAATTTAGTTACTTTTTTCATGTCTTTACTGAGCTTATTGTGAACTAAGTGGGATTTTATGCACCACCACTATCACAGACTGATGAAGTTTTGATCTACTGTAGTAGGCTTATTCTGGTTTCTAGACAAACCAAAAATCGCACTCATTTCCGTTATTCTCTACGCTTGCCTTTTAGAGGAGTATTAAAAAAATGAGTTAAGCGCTTTACAGTCAAATATATAATTGGAGTGTGATTGATTACTTTGTACTTACTATTATGAATGATTGTGAACTCTTACCTGTATACACTCATACACATGAATATTCGTGTTTTTTCGACCACCTATCGGATTATATCTAGGTATATTTTGGTTCAGAGCATTTTTTACATACATATATGATGTCACTATCTATACAAACCTCACCTACACATTTGATCACGCATATAATTAACCCATTCTTTGTCTGTCTGCTTGCTCTAATTGAGGACATGACTGGTTGGAATAAACCTGTTAGTATTTTGTGCCATGAATTATCATTACACCGGAGGCAAATGCAATCGCTCAGTTGTTTAAATCAATTCGTCGTACCAAGCCATTCTGGATGGGTTCTTAATAAGGGCTGAGCATGCCAATGCTAAAATTAAATACGGTTAGAGATCTAAAATATATCTGACTGAGATGCTTAATTTCTATCTCGAGGAAATATTCTCTTCAAGCGTAACGGGTGAAAGGAAGGAAAATATTAAGGATATTCTGGAAACTTACGCCTGTTACTCCTCGTGGAGGAGCATAGGCCGCCAACCAGCACTCGCCATCCAACCATCTCCTGGGCAACACTTTGCAGCTCTTTCCAGTTGTTATTCACCTTTTTCATATATGTTCTTTGGCCTTCCTCTTCTCAGCTTCCCTTCACAATTCCAAGTTACAACCTGCCTCGTGATGCAGTTTGATGATTTGCGTAATGTATGTCCTATCCATTTCCATTGTCTTTTCCTAATTACCTCTTCAGCTGGAAGCTGGTTTGTTCTCTCCCACAGAAGGCTGTTGCTGATGGTATCCGGCTGATGGTTGTTGAGTATCTTGCGTAGACAACTATTTATAAATACTTCTACCTTCTTGATGATGGTTGTAGTAGTTTCCCAATCGTCAGCTCCGTGCAGTAGCACTGTGTTGACGTTGGTATTGAAGATTGTGACTTTGCTATTAGTTGAAAGTTGTTTTGAGTTCCATATGTTCTTCAATTGTAGGGATGCGGCTCTTGTTTTCCCAATCCTCGCATTTACGTCTGCATCTCAAACTCCTTGTTCATCGATGATGCTTTCCAGGTATGTGAAGGATTCTACATCTTCCAGAGTTTCGCCATCAAGTGTGATTGGATTGGTGTTCTCCGTGTTGTATTCGAGGAGCTTGGTTTACCCCTTATGAATGTTGAGGCCTATGGATGCAGAGACTGGTGCTATACTGGCTGTCTTTATCTGCATTTGTTCGTATGTATGGTATAGGAGGGCTAGGTCATCTGCGAAGTCGAAATCGTCTAGTTGGTTCTGAGCTGTCCATTGTATGCCGTGTTTTCCCTCGGATGTTGAGATCTTCATAATCCAGTCGACCATCAGAAGAGAGAGGAAGTGGGAGAGTAGACACCCTTGTCTGACTCCGATTCTTACTTGGAATGCATTTGTCAGCTGTCGTCCATGCACTACATTGCACTGTATTCCGTCATATGAGTTCCGGATAATGTTGAAAATCTTCTCAGGAACTCCGTAGTTTCGACGAAGCTTCCGTAATGTACTCCTATCTACACTGTCAAGTGCCTTTTCATAATCAATGAAGTTGATTTACAGTGTCGAGTTCCACTCAACTGATTGTTCGACGATGATCCGTAGTGTTGCAATTTGGTCTGTGCACGACCGATCCCTGCAAAATCCAGCCTGCTGAACCCAAGTTTAGCGTCTTCTGTGTCTTTCATCCGGTTCAGCAACACTCTGTTAAAGACTTTCCCTAGTACTGAAAGTGATGTAATGCCTCTGTAGTTTTCATATTTGCTCAGATCTCCTTTCTTTGGAATCTTGATGAGGTGTCCTTCTTTCCAGTCCGTCGGCACTTAATCCTCCTCCCAAATCTTCTTGAATAGAGCATGAAGCATGTTTGTAGTTACTTCGATGTCTGACTTCAGTGCTTCAGCTAGTATATTATCAGGTCCTGCTGCTTTCCCGCTCTTGATTTGTCTGATGACCATCGTGATTTCTTTGGTCGTTGGTGGAGTGACATCTATAGGATGATCTGTGTGTACTGCTTCGTTGTTTGATGGATTCATTGGAGCCGGTCTATTCAAGAGTTCCTCGAAGTACTCTACTCATCTGTCCCGCTGTCGTTGAGTTTCAGTGATTGGTCTGCCTTCTTTGTCTTTGACCGGTCTCTCTGGTTCACTATATCTCCCTGCTAGTTTCTTCGTTGTATCATACAGCTGTTTCATATTTCCTTCTCTTGCAGCTTTTTCCGCCGCCATTGCT